GGGATATAAGTAAAATTGCAGGCAATTAGACGACAAAAATATGAAGATCGCTTGCAAGCGAAAAGAAAAACCCAAAATGGATTCCTGTAATAACAATACGTCACCACTGCGTGGCGATTTGAAAGAGAATGAGTTGACTGGGATAGACACGTGATCAGTGCAAGAAGGTCAACCAGCATGCATAGCGCGCATGACCCAGATCTGGGAGGTGACCGTGACGATGTGAGGTATGACAGGGTTAATTAACTTTAGAAGCTGGAAACTTTTATTTCAGATACGTTTCCACTCAGAATCGAAAGAAGAAAGAGAGATGCATAGTGTGAGATAGGATAAGTTTAAAAATTAAATTTAAAAGGAATCCAGCTCAAGTCTAGAACGATTTGGCAAGCCTAGATTGCCTCAATTCTATCCATGAAAGTGAGCATTAATAAAAACAATATTGTTTTTGTCTGCTTCAGATTATATTTTGTACATACATATTTTTAACTAGGAAAATTGTACTGACACCGGCGCTGTCCCTATTGAAGCTATTTATAAGAATTTCGAATTGTCGTCCATTCTTCGATGTCAATACATCGATGACAAGTGAGGATATCATAAAGTAATCGTTGATGCCGCGCTACACTATAATAAAAATTATAATCAAGTTGACTGGTGTGTACATTACTACAGTGAACATGTACATGATCATGCTCTATTAATGAAATGCCGTAATGTCAAATACTAATATATTATTGTGTGATGAATTTAACTGGATCAGTGGTAACATGTGATATTAATATTCCATCAATTTCTCTCCTGGTTGGTCCATCCATGTCTACAAAATGAAAATAATATATATAAAATGGAGCATAGAACAATTCTTAATTTCAGGCTAGAGCTGTGGAAATCTAGACTTTCCCAATCATTATAGACTTGAGTTAGTCTCATTTTTTACATTATTCTCTTGGGTCAACGTCACAGCTCATACCATACACTAACAAGACCAGTTTGCCCCCAGCCGGAGCTCCTGGATTTTGGTTATATCATCTAACATGGCCAACTCTGCTCTTAAGTAAACAAGAACCTAATCAGCGAGCGGTCCTTTATCATCCCTATGTGGCTGCTTATAAAAATCTGATATCTCTTCCCCAAAGACCTGGTTAATAATATATTTTCTGCTGAATATTCGAAACAGAGTGAGTGAGTTGGTACTACATATGTATACGGTTCTATTTTAAATGACTGCAGCGCTCCACTATGAAAACAAATTGTTTTAACGCCGCTCTCAGCAGTATTCCAGTGATATATGACGGCGGTCTGTTGTATATGAAATAAATGCAAATTGAATCTTGAATCTTGAAAGTTGTAACATTTCCGCAAATAGGTATCACATGCAGTATACAGTATATCAACTGCAATATACTGTATACAACATTCAGTATACAGTGTGTCGCGAGCTCTGCGCTTGGCTGGAGCACACATTTCCTACCCCTCTCCCTTCGGCAAACACCTCATGAGGTTTGCAACGAGGTCACGGGTCAGGCGTGCACTCGTCAGTTGTCTAATACGGTCAAGAGTAAGATCTTTCGGAAGACCGCTGCACTAGAGGTATGTGGATTGTTGATGAGGTACTACGTGCTTGGAACTGGGAGTTGAACACTAAGCACTTTTAGAGAAGAGCTCACAATAAAACGTTATGGACTCGCGGACGGACTTGTGTTTTCATTTCAAGACGTACATGTATCAGGTTGAACTTCTACGACAGATGTAACTTGGTTACCGCTTCCTAACTGTAACATTAACTGAACTTTACGCCTTTAATACACATTTGTGGGGCGACAATGCGACATATTTGGACCTTGAAAATGTCGCGTTACGGCATCGTCGCCCTATTGTAAAATAAAGAAAAGGATTATTCAAAGAGCGACAATGCGACAAATGGCCAATAGTCGCGCTTTTGTTAATTTTGACACGTTTTGCTTGTTTTTGTAAGGGCGTCAATTATCCAATTGATTTGAATAGAATATACTTGCGTCAGTGTATTTTTTAACGCCCCAAACCGTAATTTAAACACAATGTCATATATTAACAGATCATATACACGCATGGTGCCTTGACTTACTACTAGCTTTAATAGGCCATCCCGGAATAAAATATATCCCCCCAAAGCGAGGAACATATGTTATAGTATGTTTACAAGAAATATATTCCAAACAATATCCTCATTAGATGAGAAGATCTTTTACAGAATTACCTCAGTAAGTCAATTACAATGACAGAGCGTCGTAATACATTTACATAAAGTACAATACGTCAAAATGGCCCACACGATAAACGTGTTAATTAACCTGTGGCTATTTCAAGCCTTTGTCATCACTGATCAAATGGCCGATCGTTGAAAGGTAATTGTAAAGATGTGTCAAATAGATTCTCAGGTAAATTCATAGATTGCTGTAGATTGTCACTACGATAGTTTGGATTTTTTTCCGATTTTTTTTCTCTGGGATGGGTTGTAGCGAGGGTATCCTTAATCGGGCATGCGACCACGCTTCTGTATGAATTCGTACCAGGGAATTCCAAGGGTTTTCCCCAGGAATGTGGAAGTAGTCAGTGTTTACGCCATTTCAAGAATACAGTCACGTGAAGAACGTCATGTGACCGACCTCTCGTCCAAGCCGTATATCTTGTAAACTTCACATTAAAAAATTAGTTATTGTTATAACCAAATGAAACACAATCCATTATCCGATAGGGGTAACTGTTCATAGCCGAGGGATATGTTACCACAATAAACTTGGTAACATTGTTTGGTTTGACTTCTTGGCGCGTGTCTGAATTCCATTAACATGTTACATATCCTAAAACTGGCTTATCTGCAAATCTCGCTGCACTGCGCGCGACAGATACTAGAGCAAGGCATGCCAGAAATACGAAACCTAAAGCTTCCGAAAGGAAGCCTTAGGAATCACGTGCGTCGGTGGACCAGCGCCATCTGATTGGCCGTTAACAGTTGTACAAGGCGGAGCAAAAAGCATCGTTTTTCCGTCCATTGTACGCTTGAAAAACTCGACCCTTTTTTGGACACTTTCTAGACGCTCACCAATTAATCAATTTTAATGAATTTTTAGTCGTTTTTCCGTCCAATGACCATACACGGAAAAAAACGACGTTTTCGTGTTTGCAGTGTTTTACGCTGTTCATATTATGTAGGCCAGATACATGATACACTAATCTATGTATTACCATCCTCCCTGAGAATATCAATGAACATGTTAAAGGAAAACTTGTGTCGTTACAACTGTAAACCTGGACTGGATGATTTTAAGAGTATAGATTCTCACAAGAATAACACCATGAGCAAATATAACAGCATGCATACCTACAAGAGGCTAGGGTACAACTCAATCCCTGACCAATAATATCACACAAGCAATTCATATAAGAACCCATTAAAATAAACTAGGACTAAGAAAACAACCCTGTCGCACACAAGAGAACAGTCGATTATATATGTTAATATGGAAGTCACGTCGTTCACAATCTAGAAAATGGTGGTGGCACGTGGTCCTATGCACAGCGCACATGTCACAAATCAGCAACGTCGGTCGCGGAGAGTCCTTGGATGTGAGACCGTGTTTCGGGTTTCCAGGGCTTTGGTCCTTCCCCACACTCAAGCACGTGTAGACCATGTGGTGTCTCCTTGGGCAAGTGACCTTGTTCGAATTGTGCCTCTGTTCACCAAGCAATGAATGGGAACCCGGTAGGATGAGACAACAATGTAGTTGTTACCCTTCTAGCGCCTAGCAAGCAGGTTGGGTTGTATACTCCCCAGGGAGCTGAGACTGATTGTTGAGTGCACACTGATCCACTGACCGGGGTAATAAATATCTAAGCGCTCTGAGCATGCTTATGCATGGATAAGAGCGCCATATAAATGAACTATTATAATTATTATTGGCGGCACGAGTGGCCCAATCGTCTAAGGCCCCGCGATTCGCTATGCAGAGTTGCGTCCCTTGGGCACGCCAGAAACCTATGACTGTGGGTTCAAATCCCGGTTCGCCACGATTATGTTTCTAGGTTTGTCAGCACCACACCCGTGCTCGTGGGTTTCACCGAGACCTGCATCACTTCGGGCTTTCCTCCCACATGAAGCTGACATGCCGTGATATAACTGGAATACTGTTAAAAGCGGAGTTAAACCCAACTCACTCACTCGCTCATCCAGGTGAGAATATTCAGCAACCCATGCTTGTCGTAAGAGGTAACTAACGGGATCGGGTGGTCAGGCTCGGTGACTTGGTTGATGCATGTCATCGTATCCCAATTGCGTGGATCGATGATCATGATCACTGGATTGTCTCTCTGGTCCAGACTCGATTAGTTATAGACCGCAGTCATATAGCTGAAATATTACTGAGTGCGGCGTTAAACAACAAACAAACAAACAAACAAACAAACATGCAAATTTAAGCAAATAATACTCAGTAAGCAGAACGGTGACGATCGAAGCTTTTTGAGTAGGGATTGTTATCGCATCCGAGGGGAAGTCGGCAAGTGATGCTGAACAATGGCGGGTACACACCTTTACATCGGGATCAGATATATAGAAATATAGTTTATGATCATAATGTGGGCAAAGAGAAAGTGTTGAAAATATGGACAAATAGATAAATATATAAATGAATAAAAACACACACAAAACACAAACAAACAAACGAATACGAAGTTACATAAGCACTAAGATCAACAAATACAATTATTAACACACAATCGAATCAACACAAATACAAACAAAAAACAAAACAATGTACAACTAAAGCAACAAACTAATAAACAATCAATAAAGTTCAACTAAAACAACGAATAAACAATCAATAAAAACAAATAAACACAAAAGCGTGATGAATAATAAATGAATGTCTCAAATCAATACTAGTCATTCAAAATATTCTTTGTATTCAACTATCACGTGTTTAGTGCTTCCTTGAACCATGCAACTTGTACTTTCGTTTTGTGGTAAGGTCGTCGCTATGGCTTCCCCAGGTAAGTGGCTGTTAATAAGTGTGGGCTATGCCTGTGTACATCATCTAAACGTGCATAAAAGTATGAAAAACTTGCGCAAACTGAAGTCACACGTAACTATCTAAAACTCCGCTATGTGTGATAAGTATTGACCGGCGTGGTGAGTCGGAAACATGGTAGACCTGCACGCCATGCACAGTGAAAATGTGTGTCGAGTGGGCACACGGGGAATACCGCTGTTGGTGTGTGCGGATTGCCATGTTAATTGAAGCATGTCAGCAAAGTTGGAACCAGGTCTCACAGATCACACCATCACAGGTACCCGCGTACCCGCAATGTTGAAAAAATACAGTTATATATACCTCAGTTGGCTGTTATACGACAGTCACACAGGATTCAGTGTTTTGTTATCTAACAGTCAAGTTGACCTCAGTGGTATGTTATGCGACAGCTACACAGGATTCAGTGTTTTGTTATATTACAGTCATATATCGACCTCAGTGGTATGTTATACGACAGTCACACAGGATTCAGTGTTTGTTATATTACAGTCATATATCGACCTCAGTGGTATGTTATACGACAGTCACACAGGGTTCGTTGCTTTGTATTACATCACAGTAACACAAGCATTAGTGTTCTTTTGTGCACCCGTCACTCAGCGCTGCCATATGTATGTTATCATGACCTAACCGCCTACACACAATACAGTAGCACATGAATGAGAGCATGGCGTCGCATACCTGACGCGTGACAGGTTGGACCGCCCTAGGTCTTACAATCAATAAGCGATTGAATTATACGAGTGTTGCAATAAGTATATACAGCCCATATGACCAGGGCTTAAAGCTCATTCGCTCACATGTGTAAATTTAGCGAGACACATTGCTGGTGTTCTCCGCCGTGTTAGCGCTAGAGTAATACTAACAAGAGCGTAAAACCATACTCGCTCACTCACAAATAACATGGCCACAACTTGCACTTAAATACTTCAAGTGTCGACTTAAAGATCTGTTAGTGTAATTAGATTTCTATATTTTGTATACTGTTCTGCAAATACCCTATGGTATGTGTCTAATATTGTATGATTTGAAGTCTAATACAAGCTTTCAATACTTAAGCTGAAAAGAAACGAAATGAGGAAGACCAAAGAGAAAAGCTGACACAACTTAAGAAACAACTACGTGATAAGGACGAAGAACTGGTCAATATCAAGTTTGAACTCGAATCTACAAAACAATATTTGAAAGAAAAAGAGGACGAGTTAAAGAAAAAGGGCTCAGATGGAGTACAGGAAGAAGAGAAGATAACGCAATTTGAGAAAGAACTACGTGATAAGAACAAAGAACTGGACAATACCAAGTCTGAACTCGAATCTACAAATGACAAGTTAAATCAACTTAGGAAACAATTCGATGACAAGGTCAAAGGACTGGAAGAAATGAAGTCTAAGCTGCATGCAGCAGAACTATCATTTGGAAAAAAAGTTGACGAGCTAATGGCACTAAACAAATCGTTTGCCGAGTGCAGTTCAAGATGGAACGAGGATTGTAAAAAGAAAGGTTAGAAAACCATTAAGTCTTTCAAGTAATCTCTCTTTAGACAAGAGGGGCGGTCGGGTAGCCCAGTGGTTAAAGCGTTCGCTCGTCACGCCGAAGACCCGGGTTCGATTCCCGACATGGGTACAATGTGTGAAGCCCATTTCTGGTGTCCCCCGCCGTGAAATTGCTGGAATATTGCTAAAAGCGGCGTAAAACCATACTCAGTCAGTCAGTCTTTAGACAAGAAATATCGTTAATTGTTCGCGAATTGTGTCTTGTGTTGTTTGTAACAATTGATTATTTGTTGTAGAACAAGCCGTTGAGGAAGCAAAACAACTGCGAGTGACAGAAGGTACAGAAACTAATTGTTGGAACGTTGAAGTATTTATTGTTTATATGTACGCCCTTTGTGTATACCAGGCACATATGGGTCCAAAGGGTGGTTGAGTGTGATAAGTGTTATCGTACACTGACAGAGTTGATCCTTTTTACCAAGTCAATACCCGACTTCTTGCTGTGATATAGCTGAAGGTGCTTTTGAAGATCATAAACTGTTCTGCACAGTAACTGTGGTCCCGGGATTATCCCAGCGTTTTTGTCGTAAGAGGCGACTGAATTGCATTGGGTAGATTAGATGACATGCTTGATTCCGTCATCGACGGATCACACATCAACCACTGCATTCCCTGACATAAACTGCCTGTCTGGAGAAAGTACATGTGAACAACAAGTTTTGATGGTGACTGAAAATGAAACAGCAACAAATGGTTAGTCGATGGTGATGTATTTGATACTTGTTTGGTAGTTTTGTTTTGGACCTTAAGTTGGCAGTGTTTCGGCGACTGTTTTCAGCCAAGTAAGGTTTTGATAACATCTATTTGTAAGTTTTGGTCAAACCCCTTTTACATGTATGCTTTCTTTTGCCCAGCAGTTCAGCATTTAGTTTGCGGGTTGAGGTGTTCAACTACAAACAAAAACTGTCTGATGTTTCTACTTTTAGAAAAAGCTTACGAGGACATACAGGGATTACGGCGGGAGAAAGGTAAGGTGCACTTCTCTATCATACACAGTTCTAACTAGGGTTAAATTGGTGGTGGCGTAGGGACAGTGTAGAGATGGTGTAGTATGGTGATGTGGTGTCAGTGTGCTGGTGTTGTGGTGTTCGTGGAGTGATGATGGAGGAGTGGTGACTGCGTAGTGACGTGGGTGATGTTGGTGGAGTGGTGCGATGGCAATGTGGTGGTGTTGGTGTAGTGGTTTTGGTGGAGTGGTGTTGGCGGCGTGGTGTTGGAAGTGTGGTGGCAGTGTGGGTGGAGTTGGTGTAGATGATGTTGGTGGAGTGGTTGCAGTGTGGTGGTCATGTAGTGTTAGTGGTGGGTGTTCGAGGAGTGCTGGCAGTGTGTTGGTGTATGTGGTGTAGTGGTGTCAGTGTGTCGGTGTACTTGTGTTTGCGTAGTGGTGTCATTGTGTTGGTGTAGTGGTGTTTGTGTAATGGTGTAGTGGTGTTTGTGTAATGGTGTTGGTGGAATGATGTCAGTGTAATGGTGTAGTGGTGTTTGTGTAATGGTGTAGTGGTGTTTGTGTAATGGTGTTGGTGGAGTGGTGTCAGCGTGTTGGTGGAGTGATGTCAGTGTGTTGGTGTAGTGATGTCAGTGGGTTGGTGTAGTGGTGTTTGTGTGATGGTGTAGTGGTGTTTGTGTAATGGTGTTGGTGGAGTGGTGTCAGCGTGTTGGTGGAGTGATGTCAGTGTGTTGGTGTAGTGATGTCAGTGTCTTGGTGTAGTGGTGTTTGTGTAATGGTGTAGTGGGGTTTGTAGAATGGTGTTGGTGGAGTGGTGTCAGTGTGTTGGTGTAGTGATGTCAGTGTGTTGGTGTAGTGATGTCAGTGTCTTGGTGTAGTGGTGTTTGTGTAATGATGTAGTGGTGTTTGTGTAATGGTGTAGTGGTTTTTGTGTAATAGTGTAGTGGTGCTTGTGTAATGGTGTAGTGGTGTTTGTGTAATGGTGTTGGTGTAGTGGTGTTTGTGTAATGGTGTTGGTGTAGTGGTGTTTGTGTAATGGTGTAGTGGTGTTTGTGTAATGGTGTAGTGGTGTAGTGGTGTTTGTGTAATGGTGTAGTGGTGTTTGTGTAATGGTGTTGGTGGAGTGATGTAAGTGTGTTGTTGTGGTGGTGTTTGTGTAATGGTGTAGTGGTGTTTGTGTAATGGTGTTGGTGGAGTGATGTAAGTGTGTTGTTGTGGTGGTGTTTGTGTAATGGTGTAGTGGTGTTTGTGTAATGGTGTTGGTGGAGTGATGTAAGTGTGTTGTTGTGGTGGTGTTTGTGTAATGGTGTAGTGGTGTTTATGTAATGGTGTTGGTGGAGTGATGTCAGTGTGTTGGTGTGGTGGTGTTTGTGTAATGATGTAGTGGTGTTTGTGTAATGGTGTTGGTGGAGTGTGTCAGTGTGTTGGTGTAGTGATGTCAGTGTGTTGGTGTAGTGATGTCAGTGTGTTGGTGTGGTGGTGTTTGTGTAATGGTGTAGTGGTGTTTGTGTAATGGTGTAGTGGTGTTTGTGTAATGATGCGGTGGTGTTTGTGTAATGGTGTAGTGGTGTTTGTGTAATGGTGTTGGTGGAGTGGTTGCAGTGTGTTGGTGTAGTGATGTCAGTGTGTTGGTGTAGTGGTGTTTGTGTAATGATGCGGTGGTGTTTGTGTAATGGTGTAGTGGTGTTTGTGTAATGGTGTTGGTGGAGTGGTGGCAGTGTGTTGGTGTAGTGATGTCAGTGTGTTGGTATAGTGGTGTTTGTGTAATGATGCGGTGGTGTTTGTGTAATGGTATAGTGGTGTTTGTGTAATGGTGTTGGTGGAGTGGTTGCAGTGTGTTGGTGTAGTGATGTCAGTTTAGTGGTGGAGTGGTGGTATAGCGGATATACTGATTAATACTGATTAAATATGGTGCTTCAGCTCGACTGCAGTGGCGACACGCTTTTCAACTGACATGCGACCAGCAGTGGAAATTTAGAGTTCGAGGTGCGTATTGACACCGTCGCAGACACGTGATGTTGGTCCGTATCTGCAATATCATGACGATAAATTTATGGTTGAATAAATATTAGGGATGTAAATACTAACTCCTGATCTAACTAGTGATGAATCATAGTTGCACATGCCTGATGGCGATATATGAGATAAACTTACTCTGTTTAGAAATTTGATGTAGTACCACTGATTATATATGCCTCTGATAATTTTTTAATTTGGAGCCGCTTGATTCGAGGTCTTGTAGACAGAGCATCTGCCCTGAAGACGAAACGTAGCCGTACCAAAAGACGTTAGTCACACACACACACACACACACACACACACACACACACACACACACACACAGACACACACACACACACACACACACACACACACACACACACACACACACACACACACACACACACACACACACACACACACACACACACGTGCAACATATGAAGGCTTTCTTTTGACATGAAGTGATAATCAGTACAGCATGCGACGGCTTCAGTTCAGACATCCGATGGTAAACAGTACAACCTGTGACGACTTTTCTTTTGACATGCAATGCTGATCTTTACATCATGTGACTGTATTTGTTTGCCCACAGCTGTGGTCAGTGCTCAGTGCGAAGAAGTTAAGGGCCAACTGACCAGCATGTCTCGTGAACATGAGTCGGAGCGGAAACATCTTCAGGGTAAATATTCACTTTCAATAAATTCTCCTAAAGTAGTTCTCTACGCGCTCAGATGATGATGATGATGATGGTAATGACAATATTATTAATAATATATATAAAAAAATAATAATAATATAAAACAAGGCATTCCACAGTTTTCTAAAACGAGCCAAGGATGTGGGACATAATCTCAATGTCGATGTTGATTTTGTTGATGGTTCTGTACTGCTGGACGATATAGAAATGAGTGTCAACCAAGCGAAGTGCCATATCAAGTCGGCCCAGACTCAGTTTTTCAAGGAGAGGATTTCTGAACGACCACTGCATCGAGTTTATGTGTAGTGTGTTGAGAAGGTCAGCCATCCCGCAGAGTCCTTCGCTTGGATGAAGTCGTCTGGGCTGAAAAGTGAAACTGAAGGCTTTCTGTTTGCTGTTCAGGATCAGTCACTTCCAACTCGAAACGGTCAATGTGTGATTTTGCATCAAAATGTGAATATGAAATGTAGATTATGTAATGAATTTAATGAGACAGCCAAACACAGTGCGAGTGGATGCCCAGCTTTGGCACAGACACAGTATCTTAAGCGACATGATGGGGTGGCTCGATCATTTTATTACCGTCTCCGCTATGCTTGTGGTTTTGACACAGAGGTCCATCCATGGTACGACCCGGAATATGTAGAGGGCGTCATGGAAAATGATAAATACAAAATCCTTTGGAATAGGCCCGTATATAGACTCAGACATATCCAGGCTAACAATCCCGATCTTGTCCTTTTTGATAAATCCAATGAAATCATTAATATCATTGAATTTTCTGTCCCTTTTGACAGTAATGTGATTGTCAAGATTGAGGGAAAACATGGCCAATATGCAGACCTCGCTTTCGAAATGTCACGCTTGCATACCAAGTACCAAGTTGTCCGACTCCCCATTGTTCTCGGTGCCTTAGGTTTGGTACCTCCCAATCTGTTGAACTACGATTTTGGAACTTGCAGAAAATATATTCCAAAAGCCTGGGCTTTATAAACATTCACGACAACTGAACAACTTTTTGTGCCAAGTCTTAAAACATTACGCAGGTCCTAAGCTCAACAGTTGAAGACCTCAAATACGCCCAATCTAATCTAACTTTTTTTAAAGCAGCCAATGGAATAGGTTCCTTGAATGTATAGTCCTAGATATTCTTATCTGAAAATCACATTTGATTATAAGCACACCCCACTGGATTGAAAGGAAATCTTGACATTTGTTGTTTTTTTTATTTCATTCTGTACGTCAGCAGTTTATTCGTTATTTGATACTTGGATTAAGTGAAAATAAAAAAAATAAACCTCATACAAGAACATTGTATATTTGACTTACCTGAATCACCGCAAAATGGACCAGCACAAGAGTTATATCCATTCTTTTGTTTCTGTATATAATATCAACGTTATAGTTGATCATGATATCCTATCGTGTGGTAGAACTTGCATCAGTAGGATTTCAGGCCATCAGAAAAATGTGTGTCGACTGGCTGTTACCTACACACAGGTACAAAGCATGGTGGTTCACGGGGTTGTTACAATCACTATTTCAGATCAGATTGACAGTCAGAATGTCCAGCTGTATGTTGCTGGGAAGGGATGGCAGACACAAGAAGCAAAGTTGACAGGTAAACACTTGCAGCATTTCATGTGTCTTGGAGAGAACTCCCCAATATCTACTTTGAGAGAACTACATACAAATCAGCATAATTATTAACTTTTCTACGTTATGATGAGATCAGTTTTTGTTTATCAAAGGAATTATTATAATTATGTATCAAGCATTATTGAATTTGAACGTTCCTTCGAACCTTTTATAGTCACTTACACAGGTTGACTGTGCCGACCTGGGCTTGCATATTGTAGCTATTGAGGCCTGATGTTAATACTGTGTCGGTTGAGGCTTAAATGTTAATACTGTGACGGTTGACGCATAAATGTTAGTTTTGTGGTGGTTGAGGCCTGATGTTATTATTGTAACTGTTGAGGCCTGGTGTTATTATTTTGGCGGTTGAGGTCTGGTGTTAATATTGTTTCGGTTTAGGTTTGATCCTCATAGTGTAGGCCTGATGTTGGTATTAGTGCGGTTGAGCCCTGATGTTGAAACTGTAGTTGTTGAGGCCTGATTTTAATGTCGGTCGCGGTTGAGGCCTGATGTTATTATGTAACTGTTGAGGTCTGAGTTAGTATTGTGTTGGTTGAGGAATGATGTAAGTATTGTTGCGGTTTTGACATGATGTTAATATTGTAGCAGTTGAGGCCAAAGAGAATTGTTTTTGTCAACTGATGCATATTATTCTGGGCACAGATCGCATTGAGCAGGCAGAAGTGGAGAAAGCAGAACTTGCAGATAAAGTGACCCACTGTGAGCTGAAATTGAAGGAACGGGAAGGTTCTGTGCAAATAGCTAAAGGTAGGAGCAGACAAGACTAGAACACACAGCTAAAGGTGGGAGTAGACGAGACAAGAACACATAGCTAAAGGTGGGAGTAGACAAGACTAGAACACACAGCTAAAGGTGGGAGTAGACGAGACTAGAACACACATCTAAAGGTGGGAGCTGACAAGACTAGAACACACAGCTAAAGGTGGGAGTAGACGAGACAAGAATACACAGCTAAAGGTGGGAGTAGACAAGACTAGAACACACAGCTAAAGGTGGGAGTAGACAAGACTAGAACACACAGCTAAAGGTGGGAGTAGACAAGACTAGAACGCACAGCTAAAGGTGGGAGTAGACAAGACTAGAACACACAGCTAAAGGTGGGAGTAGACAAGACTAGAACGCACAGCTAAAGGTGGGAGTAGACGAGACTAGAATACACAGCTAAAGGTGGGAGTAGACAAGACTAGAACACACAGCTAAAGATGGGAGTAGACAAGACTAGAATACACAGCTAAAGGTGGGAGTAGACAAGACTAGAATACACAGCTAAAGGTGGGAGTAGACAAGACTAGAATACACAGCTAAAGGTGGGAGCAGATGAGACTAGAACACACAGCTAAAGGTGGGAGTAGAGGAGACTAGAACACACACAGCTAAAGGTGGGAGTAGACAAGACTAGAACACACAGCTAAAGGTGGGAATAGACAAGACTAGAAAACACAGCTAAAGGTGGGAGTAGACAAGACTAGAATACACAGCTAAAGGTGGGAGTAGACAAGACTAGACTACACAGCTAAAGGTAGGAACAGACGAGATTAGAACGCATACAGCTAACGGTAGGAACAGACGAGATTACAACACACTTAGCTAACGCTAGGAACAGACGAGATTAGACGTACTTAACTGCCAGTAGGAACAGACGAGATTAGAACACACTTAGCTAACGGTAGGAACAGACTAGATTAGAACACACTTAGCTAACGGTAGGAACAAACGAGATTAGAACAAACACACAGCTAAAGGAAGGAGCAGACGAGATAAGAATACACTTAGCTAACGGTAGGAACAGACGAGATAAGAACACACTTACCTGAAGGTGGGAGCAGACAAGACTAGAACACACAGCTAAAGGTGGGAGTAGACAAGACTAGAATACACAGCTAAAGGTGGGAGTAGACAAGACTAGAACACACAGCTAAAGGTGGGAGTAGACAAGACTAGAACACACAGCTAAAGGTGGGAGTAGACGAGACTAGAACACACAGCTAACGGTGGGAGTAGACAAGACTAGAATACACAGCTAAAGGTGGGAGTAGACGAGACTAGAATACACAGCTAAAGGTGGGAGTAGACAAGACTAGAACACACAGCTAAAGGTGGGAGTAGACAAGACTAGAATACACAGCTAAAGGTGGGAGTAGACAAGACTAGAATACACAGCTAAAGATGGGAGTAGACAAGACTAGAATACACAGCTAAAGGTGGGAGCAGATGAGACTAGAACACACAGCTAAAGGTGGGAGTAGACGAGGCTAGAACACACACAGCTAAAGGTGAGAGTAGACAAGACTAGAACACACAGCTAAAGGTGGGAGTAGACAAGACTAGAAAACACAGCTAAAGGTGGGAGTAGACGAGACTAGAATACACAGCTAAAGGTGGGAGTAGACAAGACTAGAACACACAGCTAAAGGTGGGAGTAGACAAGACTAGAATACACAGCTAAAGGTGGGAGTAGACGAGACTAGAATACACAGCTAAAGGTGGGAGTAGACAAGACTAGAACACACAGCTAAAGGTGGGAGTAGACAAGACTAGAATACACAGCTAAAGGTGGGAGTAGACAAGACTAGAATACACAGCTAAAGATGGGAGTAGACAAGACTAGAATACACAGCTAAAGGTGGGAGCAGATGAGACTAGAACACACAGCTAAAGGTGGGAGTAGACGAGGCTAGAACACACACAGCTAAAGGTGAGAGTAGACAAGACTAGAACACACAGCTAAAGGTGGGAGTAGACAAGACTAGAAAACACAGCTAAAGGTGGGAACAGACGAGACTAGAACACACACAGCTAAAGGTGGGAGTAGACGAGACTAGAACACACACAGCTAAAGGTGGGAGTAGACAAGACTAGAATACACACAGCTAAAGGTGGGAGTAGACAAGACTAGAACACACAGCTAAAGGTAGGAACAGACGAGATTAGAACGCAAACAGCTAACGGTAGGAACAGACGAGATTACAACACACTTAGCTAACGCTAGGAACAGACGAGATTAGAACACACTTAGCTGCCAGTAGGAACAGAAGAGATTAGAACACACTTAGCTAATGATAGGAACAGACTAGATTAGAACACACTTAGCTAACGGTAGGAACAGACGAGATTAGAACAAACACACAGCTAAAGGAAGGAGCAGACGAGATAAGAATACGCTTAGCTAACGGTAGGAACAGACGAGATAAGAACACACTTACCTGAAGGTGGGAGCAGACAAGACTATAACACACAGCTAAAGGTGGGAGAAGACAAGACTAGAACACACAGCCTAAGGTGGGAGTAGACAAGACTAGAACACACACAGCTAAAGGTGGGAGTAGACAAGACTAGAACACACAGAGCTAAAGGTGGGACCAGACGAGACTAGAACACACAATGCTAAAGGTGGGAGTAGACAAGACTAGAACACACAGAGCTAAAGGTTGGAGCAGACGAGACTAGAACACACAGAGCTAAAGGTGGGAGCAGACACGACTAGAACACACAGCTAAAGGTGGGAGTAGACGAGACTAGAACACACACAGGTAAAGGTAAGACCAGAGGACACCAGATCACGTACAGATAAAGGTATGGAGTAGAAGAGACTAGAACACAGATAGCTAAATGTGGAAACAGACTACACTAGATCACACCAAGCCGAAGGAAGGAAGGAAAAAGAGACCAGGACATACATATAAGGAGATAGCAAACGTGCTAACGGTAGGAACAGTCGAGATTAGAACACACACAGCTAAAGAAAGGAGCAGACGAGATGAGAACACCCTTACCTAACGGTAGGAACAGACGAGATGAGAACACACTTAGCTAACGGTAGGAACAGACGAGATTAGAACACACACAGCTAATGATAGAAACAGACGAGATTAGAACACACATAGCTAACGGTAGGAGCAGACGAGATTAGAACACACAGCTAGCGGTAGGAACAGACGAGATTAGAACACACATAGCTAACGGTAGGAACAGACGAGATAAGAACACATTTAGCTAACGGTAGGAACAGACGAGATAAGAACACACAGCTAACGTTAGGAACAGACGAGATAAGAACAAACACAGCTAACGGTAGGAACAGACGAGATTAGAACACACAGCTAACGGTAGGAACATACGAGATTAGAACACACAGCTAACGATAGGAACAGACTAGATTGGAACACACAGCTAACGGTAGGAACAGACAAGATTGGAACACACAGCTAACGGTAGGAGCATACGAGATAAGAACACACAGCTAACGATAGGAACAGACGAGATTGGAACACACAGCTAACGGTAGGAACAGACGAGATTTGAACAACGGTAGTGCACTTCACGCTTGTAATGTGTTTCAGCGTGGGTTCAGAGGCTCAGTGAACAATGCGAGGCGAACGAGAAGAATCTGGAGGAGCTCGCCCGGACCAAGACAACTCTCCGTGAGACTGAAGCACAATACCTAGACATCCTCGGTAAGTCATGGTCAGCATTAGTCAATGGGCTTTAACGTTGAGTTAAAGAATATTTCACTTACACAGCAACGTGTTCATGTATGTGTCCGTTGTACTCGTCCGGACGCATGCTGTTTGTTTTGTAGTTTTGTAACCACTGGGATACCATGTCGAAGGTCACATGGTAACCCTATTAAGACACAGTATACTCCGAGCAGCCCAGTCTTTGTTTCATCTCCTCCATATCGATCACCAGGGGGGTAACAACAACTATCATCTTTTAACGTATTTTGGCATGAAGCGGCCGGGCATTGAACCCTCGACATTCCGCTCTCTGGGCTGACGTTGTATCCGCTCCACCACGGAGGTGGCCATAAGAAAAACTTTTCAGTGCTTCATCGCTCTTATGCCTAGCAATAATGACGAAATGATTAAAAGTACAATCATTATTTATCTACCATTCTTTTAGGCATATCATTTTTTCTGTTGAATGAAATCTGACCTTGTTCTAAATACAGCATGTTATCTCGACGCATATCTAGGGCATTCCTCCCTTAAAGCCGCCTCCGTGGTCTTGTGGTAGAGCGTCCGCCCGAAGAGCAGAACGTCCGGGTGTTCGATCCCCGGCCGCAACATACCAAAAGACGTTAAAAGATGGTACTTGTTGTTACCCTGTCTGGCGCTCGGCATTAAGGGGCTTAAACAAGGACTAGTCGGCTCGGAGTCAGTATACTGTGTCTGAGTGGGGTATTCATGTTAAACTGCGGCATGGTATCTCAGTGAGCTAGCACTATAAATCGGCATCAGTCCGGACTAGTACAAGCAGCCACACACACACACGTACGTGCGTGCACGTCGCTATATAAGTGCAATAATCTTGGACGCGACGTTAAACCCAATTTCACCTCACCTCCTCCCTTAAACTCACACATTAAAAGAGTGTTTGGTCTTCCCTTCATTTGTTGGAATATTTGTCTCCTTTATTTCTATACTGCATGATCACTATTTTTAACCAGATACACATTACAGGATATTTCCTCGCATCAGACATCGCATACCATACGTGATGTCATAGATACATTATTACTTGACACTTATGATGAATTGCTTTCAAATAGATATTTGTGTGTAGAAAAAATAAATAGGCATATGTATACTTTGTGTGTATACTTTCAGTCCCACACAAGTCCGATTTAGACAGTACCTCCCGTTAAACCTGAATAAAAAAAATATGAACATAATTAGATCTGGGGTGAGAGAAAATTAGTATGTAAATAATATCAGCTCGTATTCATAATATTTAAAAAGCATATCAACACCAAATATCAAAGGCAACGAGACGAACTGGCTGTAGTTGTCAGATTAAAGTTTATATTTTGTTATGAAGTTAAATTTCTTTCAATTTTGAAAACACTATTTCTGTTATGTAACCGAATAACAAGACTTTTCACTGAAACGTGGAATTATGCATGTCGTATTTGATCTGTGTGCACACAGTGTTTCAAAAAACTACAGTTAACGCTATTGTGTTGCGTATCATTCTCATACTGGTGGGGGCACGGGTGGCCCAGTCGTCTAAGGCGCCGCGATTCGCTGTCCAGAGTTGCGTCCCTTGGGCACGCCAGAAACCTATGATTGTGGGTTCGAATCCCGGTTCGCCCCGATTATGTTTCTAGGTTTGTCAGCACCATACCCGTGCTCATTGGTTTCACCGAAGTGGTAAACGTCTGAGACCTGCATCGCTTCGGGCTCTCCTCCCACATTAAGCTGACGCGCCTTGATATAACTGGAATACTGTTAAAAGCGGCGTTAAACCAAACTCACTCACTCACTCTAATACTGGTCATCTCTGACGCCAAGTTATAGTCTTACAATATTGTACACGTACACGTGTAGGTGAGGTGAGGTGAGGTGAGGTGAGGTGACGTGAGGTGAGGTGAAATGGGGTTTAACGTCGCGTCCAAGATTATTGCACTTATATAGCGACGTGCATGTACGTGTTTGTACTAGTCCGGACTGATGCCGATTTATAGTGCTAGCTCACTGAGATACCCGGCTGCAGTTTAACATAAATACCCCACTCAGAAACAGTATACGGACTCCGAGCCGACCAGTCCTTGTTTTAGCCCCTTTATGCCGAGCGCCAGACAGGGTAACAACAAGTACCATCTTTGATTGAACCCCGGACGCTCTGTCTCCGGGCGAACGCTCTACCACTAGACCAGGGAGGCGGTCACGTACACGTGTAAGCCCCATCGTATGAAAGTCACAGTGAATACATGAACATTTCCACAATCGACTTTCACATTTTCAGGAAAGTTGCAAAATGAGCAACACGATGCTGTTCAGCTGCGCCTGAAGCTTGACAGTGAGAGACGACTCAACGCCGCCTTGTCCAACACGGCCCAACGAGAAGCCGAGGACGACAGACAAGAACAGGAGAGGATAGCCTTACTTAAAGGTAACTTCTTTATTGACAAAGTAGAGACAATTTAGCCTTGCCTGGCAGCCGTATAAGGATCTTTACCGAAACGTCGCCTTTACAGTAAATAAAGTTGTTATCCATAAAATGTCTTTACTTTGTCATCCGTCAATTTCTCAGTGATGCCTATCAAACAATTCAGCTTCTTTTTGTGATAAGATGTATAGCTATAGAAGATTATCCCTTATTCACTTAAAAAAGGTCCATTCTGTCGAGGCGAACTGACGGTCGGCATTCAGACACATAATTATATATTTCTCATGTGATGAATAGTGTTACAGATACGATGAACCTTTGTGACGTACTCCGAGTGTGAGCCAACGTACACCTGGGTGCCCTAAGTCTTTGAGCCAAAATGTTACTTTATTAATCGTTGAAACTCTACACCTACCCAAAACGGAGAAACAAATCGAGTTACTTCCCTTCACCAATTCATTTGGATAAACATCGGTTCATTTCAGGAACTCAATGATGCTTGTGCGAGATGAGAAAGTTACCTAAGATGTGTTCCAATTGATATATTCGCGGGCTACATGAAATGTGCACCCTGCCTTTGAGTAGAATGCATGGCAAATAATTGCCGCTCCTTAAAGGGGATTTATTGAAAAAAAACTTTTTAAAACATGTCAAATAGTCATGTTAAAAACTACATATTCACACCGAAAATGTCATATATGATTTCATTGTTATCTAGAAAGCAACAATCAAACTATAAGGGGTGCAGCCCCGAGTGGTCTATTCTCCCTGAAGTAATTTATAAATCGCAAAGAACAATGCAGAACGAAGCATGATTCATTTCACGATAAAACATTCTTCTATCATGGCGTCATTACTGGAGATTTGAACATGCACTCGCAACTTGATGACGTTGTAAATTGGACGACATTAATTTTGAGAGGGAAATGTCTAGTGAGTTGTTCCCATAGATGTAGCTGGGCAACACAGAAAACCGCCATGGCCGAACGATCGCATCCGAAAGTGGGCGAGATATGGCAGTATGTATTAGGGGAAGAGAAACATATAATCGTCGTAAAAATTATGAGAAATGCCAAACTTAGCCCCCCCCCCCCCCAATCGACATTGCCGTGGTCGGTTTGTATTCAGGGAGTCATCATTATTTAAATACGGGTAAATATTTCAAAGCTTTTACATTTCATTAACATCCTCAAAGAGGCTGTACATAATTCATACAAGAAATAAACGACGCGGTATATTCTCCCTGCAATTTTTTATTGTACGATAAACAACTCCCACACGCCGTTTATTTCATAAATCTTGATAACTGTGTAGTGATACAGGTTGTGTAGACGGTATTTTCAAAGATTGTGTTATGATGAGTACATCACGGTCTTCACGGTGGCTTTGTCGTGATACTGATATCACGATGGACTTGTAACGATGTAAATTGGGTAACCATGTTTGTGTATTTTGTTGTCTGTCAGAAGAGATTGATAGAGCGCAGCAGGCTTTGAGGGACGCATATCGGCGTAATGAAGAGAAGTGTGAAAAACTGAAGATGAATGAATCTGAAAAAAAGAAACTCGTGATGCACTCACTGAATCTCAGACGTAGGTGTACCTGGTATATATAATACGTATGTCTAATGAGTGAGTGAGTTAGTTTTAACGCCGCTTAGGGCAGTATTCCAGCTATATAACGGCGTGTCATCTTCATGCAGGAGGGGGTACGGGTGGCCCAGTCGTCTAAGGCGCCGCGATTCGCTGTGCAGACTTGCGTCCCTTGGGCACGCCAGAAACCTATGATTGTGTTTCTAGGTTTGTCAGCACCATACCCATACTCGTGGGTTTCACCGAAGTAGTAAACGTCTGAGACCTGCATCACTTCGGGCTTTCCTCCCACATTAAGCTGACACGCCGCGATATAACTGGAATAATGTTAAAAGCGGCGTTAAACCAAACTCACTTACTCATGCAGGAGGAAGTGGGTGAGTGTGGTTTTACGCCGCGTTTAGCAGTATTCAAGCAATATCACGGCGGGGGACACCGGACATGGGCTACTCACACTGTATCAATGTGGGGAATCGAACCCGGTCCTTGGTTCGGAGCCAACGCTTTAACCACTAAGCTACACCACCGCCCCTGCAGGAGGAAAGCCCGAAGTGAAGCATGGAGATGTTCACAATGGAGTCTGGCTGTAAACTTCTTCCTTATATCCATGACAGTTGACCTTCTTTTGAAATATCTGTGTATTCAGCATGTAGACTTTTCATCGTGTTCAAAATATTCAGACATTGCGTAAATGTCTAAATCGTTACTTGATATCAAATAATATGATTGTGACGAAACAAAAGATGAATGAATGACTTCATTTATTATGTAGGCCAGCTGGACGCCATGACAGAGGACAAGGAGCGACTCCGAGGCAAGTGACCACCTTTACACTTGTGGCTGTAGGAATCTGTGCCTCAACACTTGACAGTGTTTTCTCCGTCTCAGGGGCAAATATATAATAATGCCAATTGTAGCCATATGCTCAGCTTATTGTGTGTTGTGTGAGTACATATTACAGTGAGATACAGCCTAGTGTGTGTTATGTAACTACATGTAAGAGTGATTAGATACAGCCTAGTGTGTGTTGTGCGTAGACATGTTACAGTGAGATGCAGCCTTTTGTGTGTTGTGGGTCAACATGTAACAGTGAGATGCAGTCTATTGTGTGTTGTGCGTAGACATGTTACAGTGAGATGCAGCCTTTTGTGTCTTGTGTGACATGTTACAGTGAGACACAGCCTATTGTGTGTTGTGTGACTACATGTTACAGTGAGACACAGCCTATTGTGTATTGTGCGTCAACATGTTACAGTGAGACACAGCCTATTGTGTGTTGTGTGACTACATGTTACAGTGAGACACAGCCTATTGTGTATTGTGCGTCAACATGTTACAGTGAGACACAGCCTATTGTGTGTTGTGTGACTACATGTTACAGTGGGACACAGCCTATTGTGTATTGTGCGTCAACATGTTACAGTGAGACACAGCTTATTGTGTGTTGTGCGTCTACATGTTACAGTGAGACACAGCCTATTGTGTGTTGTGCGTCTACATGTTACAGTGAGATGCAGACTTTTGTGTGTTGTGCGTCGACATGTTACAGTGAGACACAGCCTATTGTGTGTTGTGTGACAGCATGTTACAGTGATATGCAGCCTTTTGTGTGTTGTGCGTCTACATGTAACAGTGAGATGCAGCCTTTTGTGTGTTGTGTGACAACATGTTACAGTGAGATACAGCCTATTGTGTGTTGTGCGTCTACATGTTACAGTGAGATACAGCCTATTGTGTGTTGTGTGACTACATGTTACAGTGAGACACAGTCTAATGTGTGTTGTGCGTCTACATGTTACAGTGAGATGCAGCCTTTTGTGTGTTGTGCGTCTACATGTTACAGTGAGATACAGTCTATTGTGTGTTGTGTGACGTCATGTTACAAAGAGATACAGTCTAGTGTGTGTTGTGTGACACCATGTTACAATGAGATACAGCCTAGTGTGTGTTGTGTGACAACATGTTACAGTGAGACAAAGCCTATTGTGTGTTGTGTGACTACATGTTACAGTGAGATGCAGTCTAGTGTGTGTTGTGTGACAGCATGTTACAGTGATATGCAGTCTAGTGTGTTGTGTGATGTCATGTTACAAAGAGATACAGTCTAGTGTGTGTTGTGTGACGTCATGTTACAAAGAGATACAGTCTAGTGTGTGTTGTGTGACAACATGTTACAGTGAGACAAAGCCTATTGTGTGTTGTGTGACTACATGTTACAGTGAGATGCAGTCTAGTGTGTGTTGTGTGACTATATGTTACAGTGAGATGCAGTCTAGTATGTGTTGTGCGTAGACATGTTACAATGAGATACAGCCTTTTGTGTGTTGTGCGTCTACATGTTACAGTCAGATGCAGCCTATTGTGTGTTGTGTGACGTCATGTTACAAAGAGATACAGTCTAGTGTGTGTTGTGTGACGTCATGTTACAAAGAGATACAGTCTAGTGTGTGTTGTGTGACGTCATGTTACAGTGAGATGCAGTCTGTTATGTATTGTCTAACTATATGTTACAGTAGGATGCAGCGTATTTACTGTTGTGGACCTTCATGTTTCAGTGAAATGCAATCACCTGGAATCCGAGTTAGTTCATTCACCGCAACATTCAACTCCGAACAATACAAACGGCGGAAATGGCAAGTAATTTTAATGGCTACCTACACACCCTAAATCGTTGAAACAAACTGTTCAGTACAGTTCATGTCTATATATTTATCTAAAGAAAAATGCATGTATAACTGCGGATCGCAACCACATATCTTGCAGACAAAAGTATTATCCCCTGGTTTGGTAGGTCTATCCGGGGAATGGGTGGGCTAATTCCAGGGACATGTTGCCCTGAAGCAGGAATGGGCTAGCGTATTCAAGGAATGGCTTGGCTATAATCAGGATTGGGATTTGACTCGACCAGAAATGGGTTGTGTTAGATCAGGAAGTGATGGATGTTCTTCAGCAATGATTTTGCCCACTGAAAAATGGGTCAGTTTATTCCGGGATTGGGGTGGTCTGGACCGCGAATGGATTAGTCCAAACCAGGAACGAGTTAGCCTAAACTCGGAATACATTAGCCTACCCACAAGGCATTGCTCTATATGTCAGTCTTTTATATGAGGGTGTCCATAGTTCCAGATCCAGACCTAGCTGCATACGCCCTGGACCAACTGTCACCTGTCCATCACTCTACAGACTTCTGGACCCGACCGGATGCAGACAGTAAACACTTTCACACTTATGTCTATAATAGAAGTGTCATTGCACCTTCCATATCACTGGTCTTCCGACATTTGATATTTTTTCAACGTTGGTATCTGTCGAAACGTCGATCCTCGCATGATCGGGATCGATGTCTTTCCTTTTGAGTTTACGTGCAGAAATGTAAAACACACATTTCAGATCTCAGCTATGACCTTAAAGGGGCACTGATCTAACGCAATTCCCCGGACTGGTTGTTGCCATTGTTATTGTTTTTTCCCCCGTGAGTACCCGGATGATACGCAACGCAACTGAGTGTGACCAGAGACTGGGCTACCGTCTGCAAGGACAGCTAAATAAACTTGGAGGCTGGAGGCAATATTTATTTTACGCATTTTTGTATAAACACTGATTGGTTAACTGTGATCTATAAAGATTTCGACAAAGGGCGCATGTTAATTAATTTCTTCAGCCTAAACAAACAGACAAAAAGAACGGCGGAGCTCATCGGATGTCGTCATTTGGAAATACCCCAGATGATTATAGTTTAATACTAAAAAAAAGTATCCATGCAGTGAAAGCATTTTCGGATTTCGGATTGCGTCGATAATACGATTACTACTCCCTTGTTGTCATCCACGTTTTCTCGTCTAACCCTACACTTGTGTATTTGTCGTCATTCACTTGATACTCAGTTAATGAATTTATTACAGGTACAATTAGTGGTAGCACCACTTAGATTACCTGACAAAGGTTCCCATTTGGCATTTATTGTGTCTGGGGTAATTATTCAATCTAAATCCAGGTTTGAAGTGAGGTGAAATGTGTGTTATGTAATATGCACGTGGCAGCCCAGCAAGAGATGAATGACCAGTTCATTTACTTTTTTCTGTAAATCAACGGATCGTTCCTAATCATCAAAGGATTAAGAGAAAATACGTTGATTGATTAATCACTGTTATCTTGCACAGTGGATATGTCAAAAGTGAGTGTTTACATGTCTGGGTTCACTAAAACAAAGGGAATACACTCATATCATGGCGTGCCGATGTAAAAACAACATACTTTGTTCAAAGAGTTAACTGATAATACGTTGATTGATTGATCATTGTTATCTATCACTCAATGGATTTTTTAGGAACCGTGGACGTTATGAAAATAGTTGTCACGTGGGCTTTCTCAGCCGACCCTTGAGACTTAACACCTGAAACAATCCAAGTGATCAGTTGAGAAACGAACACGGATTATAATATCCCGAAACGATATATATCTTTTAAAATATTTGATTGTTACAGAGACACGTGACATCGAATAAGTGTCTTTGTACAGCTGCAGACCAGTGGGATATTGTTGCTTTGTGTTGATATTCACGGATACATTCCTCGAACAAGGAAGCTGCCTAAAATTTATACACATAAATTTGGTAGGTTGTAATTATGGTATTTGCATTTTGTTTTCCTTCATCTGAACCGATTCGTTCTTGTTTCTCTACGTCTTGGTTGGGAAATTCTTCAATGCGCGATAGACGTTGTTTTCACAGGTCTTTTCCTTTGTAAGCGTGTATATATTACCGTCAATTTGTAAAATGTGATTCTCTCAGGCAATTTATAAAATGTGTAAATATTTCAGTCATTTTGACTAAAACATCTGATTAAGACGATCAAAAGGGCCTACAAACATCACAACAGATTATTATGTTGGATTAGAAGCCAAACAACATAGAAATGTACTTTTCAACGTAACATTTTCAGTCTCTTGGTGATGACATTAAACATCAAAATGTTTGGAATTCGGTATCATTATAATACAGATGGAAATGTTTTTCAGTCACTTTGTAAAATATTTAGACGTTTAATAAATATGTTACACATTTTGACAGTAAAAAAATATACACACTATAAAAAAACAATGCTCAGGTGAAATATTTACTTTGTGTTGCAAATCAAAATAGTGTAAAGGAAAATCGCAAAATTACCAAGCAAGTGACTTATCAAAACTTCGTCCCCATTACCGATGCTACCCACAAAGATACCTACATTTCCTAATTATCTCGAAAACTGTTTTTCATTTTGTTGATCAATGTGACCATACGCCCTTATTACTACCGGTATCCATAAAAGTGACTAATGCGCTTACGAATTGCGCAGCAGAGGTCGCGAACTAGTCTAGATTTCTGCTATACATCCGGGTACTCACTGGGAAAAAACAATAACAAAGGCAACAACCAGTCCCGGGGAATTGCGTTAGATCAGTGCCCCTTTAATACACCCCTTCACTGGTTGAATGGAAATCCCCCTTTCTGGAACTAAAAGGGGAATTTAATCCTTATTAATAAATTTTCTGGCAAAATCACTAAACTCGTGTGTTGAAGTAGGTGTCAAATTAACGGAAGCATCACAACTGCACATATGGTGGCCGAGAGGGGACATTGCTTTATCAACTTAAATAACGTCCGCGAGAAAGCGAGAAGAGGAAGCAATAACACGAGACGAGAAAGCGAAAAACACGAGACGAGAAAGCGAAAACGAAAGCGATAGAACGAGTAAGCGATATTTCCCATGATGCCGTAAACTAAAAACGATTTTACTGATTTTCAGTGATCCATTCCTGTAAATTTTACAGCTCTTTTGCCTTAGTTACAACATTTTGAAGTAGATAAATTTGTTAGATATAGATACAGAATGCAGTCTCTTTTGCATACACACATGTGGTTACTTTGTAGTATAGTAGTAAATTAGCAATAATCACATACAGTACAACACAAAAGCCTTTTACATTATTTCGCAATAACTATACACAAAAGTCCGCTGATTATTTGCGATTTCTTGCGAAACTTAATTTACCCTTTTGTGAAAGTTACTAGTTTTATTGACCCCTGGCGTCGACACCAGCGTTGTATAGAACGGCAAGTTGTATCTCTAAACGATTAAACATGGTCTAGCAACCTTTTGAATGTTTTTCGATATTCATCTTTTAATTGTATTCATAATACCACCCAATTTTTCCTTTAATATTAATACTGAAACTTTAAAAGGACTTCATATCATAAGTACAGTAGACTGAACTGGAAAAAATATTGAAAGACAATGTTCATATAAATTATACATTGATAAATAATAGACAAGTATTATGAGCCACTGTTTGTACAGATAAAAAAGGGTAAATTAGCACTTTATGAAATTTTAAGATCATTAAATGAACTTGGGTGCTTGTCTTATGACATATTCATTAAAATATTTGATGTAAAGATTAAGCCTATTTTATTATACGGTGCAGATATTTGGGGCACAAATACATTTGATCCACTTGAGAAAATTCAGAATTATGCATGTAAAAGATTTCTTGGCTTACCGTCACAAACTACAAATGCTATGGCTGTGGGAGAATGTGGTAGATATCCGTTATATTTTGATTCATTTGTGCAATGTAAAAATTATTGGCTAAGATTAATACAGATGTCAGATGATAGAATACCAAAAAAGTCGTATAATATCATGTTAAAACACTTAGATGAATGTGATAGGAGAAATTGGGTAACAAATGTTAGAGAATCTTTATGTTTGATAGGTCTTGGAGAAGTCTGGTTCTCTCAAGGTGTTGGTAATATTGATTATTTAACAAGTATGATTAAACTTAGATTAAGAGATATTTCTTTTCAAGAGTGGCAAGCAAAATTAAGAGAAAGTACAAGATTCGATAGTTACAGTAGATACAAATTGTCATTAAATGCTGAACCATATGTGTATAGCAAAACATATTTAATGCATAGAAGATACTTAGCTCTTTTAAGAACTGGGGGTGCAAAAATTTACATAAATGTTGGAAGATGGAAAAATGTTGAAAAAAGTAAACGAATCTGTCAGAATTGTAATTTAAATGAGTTAGAGGATGAATTCCACATAATAATGAAAAGCCCATGTTTTAATGATTTGAGAAATCTTTTTGTACCAAAGAAATATTTAAGGAAATGCACATCCAAATGTTTTGTTAATTTAATGAATGATTATGATCCAGCCATAGTAGATTATGATCCAGCTATAGTAGATTATGATCCAGCTATAGTAGATTATGATCCAGCTATAGTAGAAAACTTGCTAAAATTCTGTAAAGCTTCACTTGCGAGGAGAGCATGTTATCATTAATTACTGTACACTCTCTTATCATTGAATATATAAGTATGATGAACCGCCATCACCTTGATGGAAAATTTGTATTTTTATATACTTTGTATACTTTGTATATGGGCCTGAGGCCTCAAGTACAAATAAACAGATTGGATAGTTTTAAAATCACCTACATCTCTACAGTTATTATATTTTAGTGAACAGTGAGGAAATTTTAACATTCCTTCCATGGGTTTAATTTTGAATGTGACTGGAAAAAAGCTCAGCTCTCTTTAATGAAGAAGAAGCACTTCAGCCCCTATTAATGAAGGAAACAACAAAAGTCGATAAAGCGAGTCCCCTCTCGACCACCGTAGCCACTATACATGGAAGTTCTGATTAACGAATTCAAATGGATTCCAGCACTGCCACTGGGACGTCTGTAACACACTGATGCTGAGTACGTTAGTAACCTGATTACAACAGTTATGAGTACGTACTAGGCTATCGTGAAGAGTATTCGTGATGTGTGGCCAGCAGTATCTCTTTAGGGTTATACGTTATTTCTCTTGTAGGTACCAACTGACGGGCGTGTATCATGTGGTTTTACAACTTTTGAGGTACAATCGAGCATGCTCTCTCTATGAAGATTTCAAAAGCATCATGCGACTCTCACTCAAAAGTTGTTTAATCAGGGTAACACCATTCGAGGCCTTCAAAACGTTTTATGGCAGCCATGCGGAGGACATTTGACGCATCAGTGACAAAAAGTATCTCCATTACAAGACCCTATTTTGACGAACCAAACGTTCCCATGTTTTTTAGGTGAACCTTAGCTTAGCCTTTGCATGTGTTTGTGACAGGTGCCACCGATGGCTCAGGATACACTTACCATTTCGCGAACACCTGGTATATCCACCATTTGATTCATAAACTCATGGTCATGGTAAAGCCAGAATTGAACAATCCTCTCTGTTTTTAGCAGAGATGTTAAATAATTATGGCATGAATTTTTGCGCTTTTATGTACTTACAGAATAACATCATATTTCATTCTTCGTAGTCGTCCTCAATGTGTTATTCAGAAAACATACAATTCCTGTTTTGTTAAATAAAAGGTCCCGCTCATTGTAGTGACATTTCATTGCTTCTTGATATTAGCCATACGAGTCTGCTGTGATGCTGCATGCAAGTCAATAAAGTATGCAACATGCCCAGAGAGTGTAACATTACCCTCCTTGCTGCGCCTTGAGCTTACTGCTTTACGTACGAACAATATGTACACATCCTACAATAATTAACAGATAATGGAACATTGTAACAACCAGCTGAGGTATCTGGACACGTTAAGTGTATATATACACTATAATGTTCAAGTCAGTGAAGCATTGGAGGTGAGGTGAGGTGAAAAGGGGTTTAACGTCTTGTCCAAGATTATTGCACTTATATAGCGACGTGCATGTACGTGTGTGTGTTTGTGTGGCTGCTTGTACTAGTTCGGACTGATGCCGATTTATAGTGCTAGCTCACTGAGATACCATGCCGCAGTTTAACATGAATACCCCACTCAGACACAGTATACTGACTCCGAGCCGACCAGTCCTTGTTTAAGCCCCTTAATGCCGAGCGCCAGACAGGGTAACAACAAGTACCATCTTTTAAACGTCTTTTGGTATGACGCGGCCGGGGATCGAACCCCAGACCTTCCGCTCTCCGTGCGGACGCTCTACCACTAGACCACGGAGGCGGTCGTGAAGCATTGGACATATCCATACGTCGGTATTACCCTGGTTGTCTTTATCGGAGGGATTATCTACCAACAATTTAAAAAAATCCCCAAATATTAAAGAGACTATGGTAAATTTCAACAGCCCACTGCTGGCTATAAATCTCCGGACTGACCACAACATCCCAACAATCCCGACTAACAGTATCTCCTTTTGTGTGATGATAACTGACACCATGGCGACTAACCCGACACCCAAGAATCACTGCAATGGTCTGTGATGAGTGGATCTCTACCACAGCCCTAACAACTTCCTCAAACAACTAAGGCTCATTGGTATATAAAATACAGTTTAAATTAATTCACGATTATAGTATTGTCTAAACAGAATCAGACGTTGAAATAGTGGCTGCTATTTTTATCCAGTTCACGAACTGACAAACACGCTTCTCAGTGCGGGTGCTACATTATTTCTTTGGTCATTGATTACATACTATATAGTATTGAGAAACCTAGTGGTTGAACCATATTCATCATTGTCTGTATCCAGAGGATGAGGTCGGCGATGCTGTGAGTGTCTCCTCAACAGACTTGTGGTCTCGCCATCACTTTCATAGTGGCATGCGATTGGATGAGTAGTGGCGACTGACGTCGTTGACGAGGACCCTGACCAAGGCTGTCGTTTTCCAGATGCGAAGACAGCATAGAAGATGACGCCAGCGAGGTGGATGAAGGCAGCGACGATGAAGAGTCGTTTCCACGCCATGGGGACGTCGGCGTCTGACTGTTGGTAGAACTAGTCAGTTAAAATCTGGTCACAGTTTTGTATAAAAATAAAAGAATAAACATCGAGCCACGTGGTATATGATATCATAATAAAACATAAACTTTATTTAAAACACTTTCTGGTTCATTCCATTTAGCGATGTTTCGATGTAGATTCTTACACTGCTATCTTATTAGTGATTGAGTGAGTATGGTTTTACGCCGCTTTTAGCAATATTCCAGCAATATCACGGCGGGTCTTCGGCGTGACGAGCGAACGCTTTAACCACTGGGCCCCGTTACTTTATTATAAGGGACTACAACCAAGTGATGAGAGGTAAATATACATGGTGTGTTGTGATAAGCAGCAATTTAACATTTATAACACAAAGGTAATGGATAACAAGTAGCTCACAGATAACTGAATAAAGTCATAGGTAGAGTAAGAGGTGAGGGGATATGGTGTTTGACGTCGCGTTCAGGATGATTGCACTAATATAGTGACGTGCATGCACGTGTGTGTTTGTGTGAGTGTTGCTGATTGTACTCGTCCGAACTTATGCCGATTTTATAGTGCTAACCTTCTGAGAGACCATTCAACAGTTTAGCATGAATGCCCCACTCAGACAAAGTGTACTGCGAGCCGACCAGTACTTGTTTTAGCCCCTTAATACCGAGCACAAGGCAGGGTAACAACAAATACTATCTTTTAACGTCTTTTTGTATGAAGCAACCGGGGATCGAATCCCCGACCTTCCGCACTCCGGGCAGACGCTCTATCCACTGGACCATGAAGGCGTTCTCAAAACGATAACGGTCATCTGCACAACAAGCACGGGTTGTGTGGACCTTTCCATTCTCGGAGGACACGCAGTGGTATGGAGATTTGCTTCGCAGGACAAGCAGATGAGCTTGGGACCTGTCCTGCATCAGGAATACATTAGGGTACTGGGTACTTCCTCTCAAAGTGAGAACAGCAGCGAACTAGGTGTCAAGGCATTGAGACCTTGTGAACGTTTTGTAGTAATGGTTCTACTCACGACCATGTTCCTGGCGAAGTGGGCGACCAGTGTGCTGAGAATGGCACCCAAAACCCCCAGTCTAGACAGACCTGTCACAACGCTGGCATACTTGGGGGTTAGGTCAAGAGGATTAACCTGATAACCTGAGAAAAAACAACATTTTGAATAAAATACCTTTATATTGGATAGTGTATATTTGTGCAACAATACCTGCAGTTTAATTAGTGTAATACTTATGCGTTTCCAAACCTAGCTCAATCGTATAACACAAATTGCTTATTATTTCTTTCCCACTGCAGTGCCTCCTCCAACATACATGACTTGAATTTCGGACATGACATTTGTAGACGCAGGTATAGGTCCCAAATATATTATCGATAGGTATAGCAGATCATTGCTGTAACGGAGTCTAACAACACCAAGGTATTTACGTGGATGTTTTACCTGAGATTGCAAAGCCACTGAAGCCGACCCCCACACAGAGCAGAACGAAAGCCTTTTTCCAGTCGTCCATGAACGCGATGGCCATCACACAGGTTGCCTCCACACCGAACCCTGCAACAGGACCCTTCATGTGACCACACAGGCGACAGGGGTAATTACCATACCGAACCCTCCAACAGGACCCTTCATGTGACCACACAGGGGACAAGGGTAATTACCACACCGAACCCTGCAACAGGACCCTTCATGTGACCACACAGGGGATAAGGGTAATTACCACACCGAACTCTGCAACAGGACCCTTCATGTGACCACACAGGCGACAGGGGTAATTACCACACCGAACTCTGCAACAGGACCCTTCATGTGACCACACAGGGGACAAGGGTAATTACCACACCGAACCCTGCAACAGGACCTTTCATGCGACCACAGAGGCGACAAGGGTAATTACCACACCGAACCCTGCAACAGGACCCTTCATGTGACCACACAGGCGACAGGGGTAATTACCACACCGAACCCTGCAACAGGACCCTTCATATGACCAAACAGGGGACAGGGATAATTACCACACCGAACCCTGCAACAGGACCCTTAATGTGACCACACAGGGGACAGGGCTAATTACCACACCGAACCTGACTTACAAAAATACACAATAAACAATAGATGTTGTGGCAATCATTATATAAAGCAACATAATATTCAAATAGCTCTAGACAGCGTATACGGAGGACTGAAATGCTTTCATGATTTTATTTGGCAAAAATTAATTACCAAACTGAAGACAAGGGTAATTATCACACCGAACCCGGCAACAGACCCTTCATATGTTCACACAGTGGTATGTATCGTTTAGTGAGGTAAGTATGGTGGTATGTATCGTTTAGTGAGGTAAGTATGGTGGTATGTATCGTTTAGTGGGGTAAGTATGGTGGTATGTATCGTTTAGTGAGGTAAGCATGGTGGTACATGTATGTATCGTTTAGTGAGGTACGTATGGTGGTATGTATCGTTTAGTGAGGTAAGTATGGTGGTATGTATCGTTTAGTGAGGTAAGCATGGTGGTATGTATCGTTTAGTGAGGAACGTATGGTGGTATGTATCGTTTGGTGGGGTAAGTATGGTGGTATGTATCGTTTAGTGGGGTAAGTATGGTGGTATGTATCGTTTAGTGAGGTAAGTATGGTGGTATGTATCGTTTAGTGAGGTAAGCATGGTGGTATGTATCGTTTAGTGAGGTAAGTATAGTGGTATGTATCGTTTAGTGAGATAAGTATGGTGGTATGTATCGTTTAGTGAGGTAAGTATGGTGGTATGTATCGTTTAGTGAGGTTAGTATAGTGGTATGTATCGTTTAGTGAGATAAGTATGGTGGTATGTATCGTTTAGTGAGGTAAGTATGGTGGTATGTATCGTTTAGTGAGGTACGTATGGTGGTATGTATCGTTTAGTGAGGTGCGTATGGTGGTATGTATCGTTAAGTGAGGTACGTATGGTGGTATGTATCGTTTAGTGAGGAAAGTATGGTGGTATGTATCGTTTAGTGAGGTGAGTATGGTGGTATGTATCGTTTAGTGAGATGAGTATGGTGGTATGTATCGTTTAGTGAGATGAGTATGGTGGTATGTATCGTTTAGTGAGGTACGTATGGTGGTATGTATCGTTTAGTGAGGTAGAGACAGCAGAATAGGATGTACAAGGCCTTACATTCAACACTACCATTCGCGGTCTACAACATAGATGTGTGTGATGTTGGGACATCAGTGACCTACCAAGTGATTCAGAGAGCTTCCTGGCTGTCGTCGTGGAACATATGTCTCGGCTGATCATGTTGTCGACTACAAAACCGCCAATTATCACCACAATCGCCATCAAGATGTGGGGTACAGCTGATAGAAATCCAATCTGCAACATATGTCCAGATCAGGTCATGCAAGTAAAAGACGCAGCAGTAAAAGTGTGGGGAACTAGTAGCCTACAAGTGTAATGTTCCGAGCCTACCTATAATGGACTGGATTCATAGAGTTGGCTGTTACTTATTTTGTAACATAATCCCCTACGAGGTCCAACGATAGTAGAATGCCTTGATGAAACTGGAGTAAAAGACATCCTTCTAATGGTGTAAAACATTTCTCCACAGCAGAAATGACGCCGTCATCATTTGCAAAAT